AAAAAAAAAAAAAAAAAAGAAAGTATTTTATTTTCCTCTAAAAAGCAGTAATCCTGGGTATCTACGTCTCTTAAGGAAGAAACTGCAGGAAGTCTCCAAGGTCCTTACTCAGCGTGGACTCGCCCGCGAGAGCTGCAGTACTCTATGAGGCGTGCAACCAAAGCCCTGCCAGGCTGTCAAAGGCTGGTCCAGGGCCAGCACCACCCGCCTTCACTGCCTGCAACTTACCAATGCCCAGGAGAGCAAAGCCAAATCCAAGAGGAAGGAACACAGGTGATGACACAGTTTTACATTGTGCTGAATGTAGAAAAATTCACTACTGGACCACAGCCAAGTCTATATTCTATTCTTTTTTTTTTAAAAAACAGATACTGGAATAAAGGAAAATCACATTCTTCTCTCTACCTCAGTTCTTCATCACACACCCACCACCTAAAAGAAGCAGCTTTAAAGTGGACTAGGACAGTTCTTCTATCTTCTCTTCCAGGAGTTCCCTGAGATGGGCTGGACTTCAGGTGTTCTGGAAGAAAGGCACTGCTGGACTAACAGGCTGTATGGCAAAAGAAGCAGCGTTTTCTCACGAGACTTAACCATGTACTTGTGCTATGTTATGTTATACTTAGAGATGATACCACACAAAACTAGTAACAAAATAGGAAACATACCACAATTCCTAGAGCCTTCAAAATATTAAGTTTGCACATAGGACAGGTACAATGTTCACTAAGCCAGGGATCCACGCACGATTTGTGGAAAACATGCCTATAAAAAAATGGAGAATTGTATCACAAATTATATACTGAAAAACTGTTTGGCCAAAATCAAAGAAATGAAATTTTTAGTTAGTCCATTTTCCCCTCTTTTAGGACATATTCACAAGGCCCAAGAGATAAATATCAGGGATGGATGTATTAAAAGACAGCTGGCAGAGAACTGAACCCAATCTTATAGTGACAGCACTGTATAATGAGAACGGAGAAGCAGTATTTGGCTGTTTGGTCTTTTTATTCCACCAAATTCCAAAAATGATTTGAGGAAATTTATTAAGAATGAAGATAATGAATCATACCCTATAAATCAGTTATGTTTTCTATAATAGCTAAAGTAGAAAAGCAGAATTTCAAAAAGATATTAAACAAGGGTTAACTGGAAACAGCTCTCTGTATAATTATTCATTAGTTTCATGGACCTCTGTTTAAATGTTATTTAAAACATTGTTTAAAAAGACTTCTAAGCTACCTATATTAAATGTTTGTAAAAGTTACAGAAGATTTGGGACTATTTTTAGGGATGACCTGTGCTTAAGAATCAGTTAACACTTAGCTGGCAGTTTTCAGCTAAATGTTAAACTGAGAGAGAGGATGGGTGATTTTCTCTCATTCAGGAGAGTAGAAAGTTGCATTGTCGGGACTAGAAATAAGTCAGTCATGGAGGGATTTGCATTCTTATAAAAGAAACCTGTGCCCTTTAGAAGTGAGAAAAGACTTTGAGGGAGCTGCAGAAATAATTTCTCAAGTACCCCCCCTAGCAGCCCTGAGAAACTGAAATGAAGCCACAGGGAAGCCCCAGAGTCCTGGCCAAACAGGGCAAGGGGCAGGCGCCAGGATGGACATTCCAGCACCTCTGGAGGAACAATATAGTCTGAGTCTTGAGATAAAATCAAAGAAATTTTGAGAAAGATACCAAACTGAACCATGGTATGCCTTTAAAGCTTTGTTAATTTATAACATATATAGCTGGCTAAAAGTGCAGTTTTGATATAAAAAAGACGTCTAGAAAACTCATTGTTTTAATTGGGATTTGGAAGAAACATTTGTGCTTACAGTTGCAACCTGAACAATACATACCCACCCACCTGTCACCACTTAGTGGCCTGTACCCATTTCTTTGCGGTAAGAATAAAGATCTTGAAGACTGAACTAACAAACTAGTCTGAAGACTTGCAGATAATGCATGAACCAGAACCTCAATATCCTTGAAGGCTTTTACATAAGGGATGGAAGTCATCAAACCATCAGCGAGACTTAATTCATTTCGTACACCTAAGGCACCGTCACGTCTGCTTCTTGTTCCTTGTATCCTCGTATGAGAGTGCTCCAGTAGGGAGATGAAGGCCTCCTTACTACAGGGCGCCACTGAGGGGGCATTCTCAGAGTGCAACTGGCAACTGTGCCAGCGTTGGCTGTAGTCTAACAAAGACCAGCACAAGGGTTTTAAGTCCTTTTGGGGACACACACCCCTTTAGGGTCTGACATAATGACACATCTTCCCCTTGAGAGGGGCACCTGCCTCATGTCTGGCATGTTTTCAGAAGGCCCATGGACCGCTGAGGGTTGGGTCACTGCTTGGGGGGGGCAGGTGGCTGGGAAGCTGCTCTAGGCCAGTTCTATGTAGGGTAGACGATGGACTTTGGCCAGGTGACAGAAGAGATAAGGTTTTGTGATCTCTGAAGGGGCCGCTTTAGTGTGGGGGGTGCTGACTCTCCCCAGCTATCTGTGGAGACCGTGGTCTAAGCCAGCAGCAGAGCCTGGGGGGCAGTGGTGTGGCTCTGGCCCTGCCACTCTCACCAGCGTTCCTGCTTTCCCCTTTTCTTACTGTCCTGCCTTTCTTTTCCATTACTGGTTATTCAGAAAGAACAAAATGGTATAATCCCATATTTAATTTTTAAAGCTGCATGAGTTGAGTGTTCTCTGCTTATCTGTTCCTTTAACCTTAGTTATAAATGGATTTTTCTTATGTCAGGGTTCTTAACTACTTCCTTGTAGGCTTGTTGATCTAAAAGGACGTGTTGGCCCCTGCTGTGGGCACTGTAATGAGGGACCACAAAGACTAACTGGTCCTCAGGGACAAACTGACAAAGGCTCCCTTCCTCAGCTGACTCAAAATCCGAAAAAAATATTTCTTCCTTTAAAAAAACCTCTTCGGGACTGGCCCCGTGGCGTAGCAGTTAAGTGTGCACGCTCCGTTGCTGGAGGCCTGGGTTCGGATCCCGGGTGCGCACTGACGCACCACTTGTCAAGCCATGCTGTGGCAGTGTCCCATGTAAAGTAGAGGAAGGTGGGCACAGATGTTAGCCCAGGGCCAATCTTCCTCAGCAAAAAGAGGAGGACTGGCATCAGATGTTAGCTCAGGGCTGATCTTCCTCACACAAAAACAAACAAAAAAAACCTTTTCCTTTTGACTATCTGTCCACCCCACTGCTTTCTTACCCCAACCCCCAGCCCAGTCAGCTAACTGCCCTCCCTCCCACGCTAGCCCCTCTGACCGGACCATCTTTCCAGATTCCCCAACAGTCCAGCTGCTGCACCTCGCCAGGAGACCATCAGTCTAATTGCTACAACACACCCCTCTCTTCTGAAAACAAAGCTGAACAACTTTTCTCTTGACCCACTGGCCCTCATGACACAAGCCCACCGCTCTCCCTCGGATCACTCCCTGCTGGAGTCGTGATAGGTAATCGGCCTTCCCTTGTTGCTTCTTTTCTTCATCACCATTCTCTTGACCCTCCTGCTTCTACCACCTCAGCTCTGTTTCAACAAGCTCGGTGGGCCTTCTCTTCCTCCTAGGCAAAGTCCTGCTACTACACTGTCTGAGCCTCGACAAACTGCCCTTCCCAGCTCCTTGTTGTCTCCTCTGAAAGCCACAGGGCAGGTAGGAGTGGGGAAGGCTCTCTGCGATCTACCTCGTGTGCTGTTTGGAGCAGTGAGTGAAAAACCGTATGCAGAATACTCAGAAAAGCACGCAGGACATGCGAATGAACGGGTATCATTAAACACACACTCAACACATTTGTTCACATTTCCCACAATACCACAATAAATGGTCAGAACCCCTGAGCACACCTCAAGCCCCAGCACGCCCAGCACCAGAGGGCCTCCCACTACCCTGCAGGTGAATCACAAGCACCCAGGTGCCTCAGAGGGTGGCACAAGGGGCCAGCCAGACCTTCCCACCGTTACAAAAGACTCGAACAATAAAAATACACATAAAGCAGAAAAGGGCCCAACGTATTTCGGGCTCAGTAGTATACATGGATGGAAAGCAGGTGATGTGTTGAGGAACAGACAAAGGTAAAAAGGACCAGCATATCAGAGCTTCAACAAAGAAGTCCTTTATTCCTATAAGAAATACTTTGGGATACAAAATGTGAAACGTATAGAACATAAAAGGAACAAACCAACAACAATGAAATACAGCGCCCTCCCCCCTTCCTACTTCCCACACGTGCCGTAGACTAGAGAGGGATCAGAACAACGGCTGGGGGTGGGGTGAGGCATCTACATGGAAGGTGAGTTGTTTTCAAAGCTCTGCAGCCTCTTGGTGCCATGCAAGAACCTGGCAAATATAAAGGATCCAGGATTATTAAAGGTCAGAGACAAGCACTCCTTCCCCCTAGCTGGGACCGGCAGCAGATGCTGTGTAAACAGGCCCTCCCTCTGAGGTGGGGGCCTCACAGCAAAGCCTCAGCCCACAGCCAGATAACTGCCCCATTTGAGCCCCCAAAGTGGCTTCTTAGACACAACGTTTATCCAAGCTGCAGCATTCTACTTCTGAAAAGTATTTTCAACTACTAAAAAATTTTGTGGCTGACCTTTAAATAAGAGGTCTAAATAAGGTGAGTTTTTCAGAGTCTAAGACGTGTTGGCTAACATCCAAAGGATGATCAACTGTAATCAACTGACAGAAGCAGGAGGTCCCAAAGCCATGCCAACTACCATCTGCACACAGTAAATGAACGTGACGGAAGAGGAGGGTAAAGGTCATGCAGCAAAAAGCCAGCAATCCACGAGAGGTTTGCCCTCTTTTTTTTTTAAATTTAATTAATTAATTTATTTTCCCCCCAAAGCCCCAGTAGATAGTTGTATGTCATAGCTGCACATCCTTCTAGTTGCTGTATGTGGGACGCGGCCTCAGCATGGCCAGACAAGCGGTGCGTCGGTGCACGCCCGGGATCCGAACCCAGGCCGCCATCAGTGGAGCGCGCACACTTAACCGCTAAGCCACGGGGCCAGCCCGAGGTTTGCCCTCTAAAGACAGAAAGTCTTAGTGCAGTCTCCAGAAAGGCCTGTTCAAATGACGGACAGAAAGACACAAAGTCACCTGGGCTTTTCTTCTTCCCTTACTCAGGTGAAGAAGGACCATGGGTGTGGATCCTTTCCAAAGTCTGGCTGTGAAGGCAGAAGCTGGAAGGGAGTATTGGAGATGGGTTTGAAAGAGAACTGAAAACTGGAATTGGAAATGCTTGAGCATGACGAAATGAGCGGAGATGGAAAGAACAAAAACTGGAGGGAGCAGACAGTCAATAGAGCAAGGTCCCCGAGGAGGGAAGGACTGGCACAGAGGCCCACGTGGGAAGAGCACAGAATAAAGACCCCTCGTCCTCCGTCCTGACAGGAAGGAAGGTGGGAAGGCTGCAAGTGTGGGTGTGGAGGCTTGGGGTCAGGAAGCTAAGAGAATTTCAACTATCTAATAGCTATTACTCTCTCTGTGAAGTTGATGGTGAAGTTATCTGCTGAGAGCGAGGAATAAACGGAAGAGTTAAGGTGTTTAAGGAGAACGAATACACCCAGAAGCACTGATGTGAGGGACAGGGCGTTCTGGCCAGGGAGAGAGAAGGGCCCTGGGCGGCGCTCCAGGCCCAACTGGGGTCCGTCAGAGCCCCACAGGAGGCAGGGAGGTAACAGACCTGCCAGGCAAGGAGAGCTAAAGGAAGACAGCAGAGTCACATCTTGGCTCAGTTTCAAAGACTCAGACAAAAGACAAAGGGTAAGGTATCCCAGGCAGAGGGAACAGAGCCAGCAGCAGCAAGAGGCAAGAGTTAATCTCAAGGTGCTTCACAGGAATCCACTGGAAAGAAGAGGCTTAGAGAAGGTTTGGAGTAAAGATGACCATGTGTGCGAACCCATCCTCTAGGTCAGTGGTTCTCAAAGGGAGGCGTCTGTGTTTGTCACAGCTGTGTATGGGGTACTATTTGGCACCTACTGGTTGGAGCTAGGATACTGCTGAATATCCTGCAAGGCACAGGACAGCACACTCTCCCCAAAGAATTGTCTGCGCCCAAATGTCAACAATGCTAAGGCTGAGAAACCCTGCTCTAGGTCAAAAGTTGTCAACTTGGGTCCCACAGAGCATTGCTCAATGTGCAAAGTCAATTTTTACTATACTTGAGAATCATGCTGTTACTACCACTTCAGTCAGGTGAGATGTTTTGCTGAGCAGGCTATGCAATATAGTTTAGAGAAAGCTACAACTTATTGAGACTCAAGATATTAAGAGTAAGAAACATCAAACTGCTCCAAAGCAAAAGGGGAAGCATGATACATAGCCAGGGCAGGAGTGAGCAGTGCCCCAACCACAGGTGCAAAGAAATGCTGTTCAGTTTGCCAAAATTCTGATATTCAAACGCAAACCACAAACACAAAGGCTGAGACCACTCTTCTGGTGGCAGGTATAACCACAGAAATGGCTAAGATCAATCAAAGCTCGGGACCTCAATGGAGGGTGTGGCCTTGCAGCATCAGAATCACCCAGGTACTTAATAAAAACAAACATGCCTGGGTTCCACTTGGGATGTGTTTCTGAAAGTATTCCACTGATTCTGATGCACAGTCAGGTTTGGAAAGCACTGTACTAAATTAAGAAAAAAGAGAACTCAAAATGAAACTTTGGGGGCTGGCCTGGTGGCATAGTGGTTAAGTTTGCACGCTCCGCTTTGGCAGCCCAACGTTCACGGGTTTGGATCCTGGGTGCAACCTACACACCGCTCATCAAGCCATGCTGTGGCGGCGTCCCATATACACAAAAAAAATAGAGGAAGACTGGCACAGATGTTAGCTCAGGGACAATCTTCCTCACCAGACAAAAAAAAAAAAAAAGAAACTTTGGAAAAGCCAATGCTTAGGAGACAGGATGGGGAGCGAGCTCCCATAACAACCTGTTTCCTGCTGAGGCTCCCTGGCAAGACACTCTCATTTAGTAATAACCAGGAACGGATTGGAAGCCTTTGTTCTTAGGTCTCAGACAGTTCTGGGGGACCCTGGACTGAAACAGGAAGACAGAATTTGGAAAGACTCGGCTTCTTCCTGGTTACTCCGGTGTCAAAAGAAATCTGTGCAGGTGAAAACATTTTTTAAAAGCAGGGAACAGCTGACGATGCTTTATAACGCATCCTACTGATTCTTTTCCTAAATGGTATGTGTATTTCCTTCAGCCTCATGTTTTAGACTGTAAGTGACTACAGCTGAAGAAAAACTGATTACATAATTTAATTTTCTATAGAACAGCTTGCATTGAGTTTTATAGATTTTCCTTTGTATGTAAACTAGAATGACTAGACTTCCAGAAACTTGGTTTTCTATTTCAGTACATGGAATTATTCTTTTTTTTTTTTTTATAATTTTATTTATTTATTCTTTTCCCCCAAAGCCCCAGTAGATAGTTGTATGTCATAGCTGCACATCCTTCCAGTTGCTGTACGTGGGATGCGGCCTCAGCATGGCCGGAGAAGCGGTGCGCCGGTGCGCGCCCGGGATCCAAACCCGGGTCGCCAGCAGCAGAGCGTGTGCACTTAACTGCTAAGCCACGGGGCTGGCCCTGGAATTATTCTTAAGTTCTATGATTTTTTAAAAAAACAGAACTTTCTAGGCTCAAAATAGATTACTTTGTGAATAAGTAAAATAATACCAGTAGACTCATGGAGACAACTACTACTAATTATTTTATTCATTCACATGTTCTGTGTTATTATAAGGCTAAAGTTGTGTGAATGTTTTTAAAGGACAGGGGAGAAGGAAGAGGAAAATTCTTTGATTTTAGGCTTCTCAATAGGTGGTTTCATATTCTTCCCATCAACACTCAGAAGTGTGTATCTTAATGTTTCACATCCCCTAGCTTGGGATAGCACCTTGGGAGAAATCAACATGCTTACAAAGAAAATCTGCTCTTGTAGGGCACCCAAGTTCAGGTGAACACCCTCCTTTTGGAAGGAGGTATGTGGCTCTATGTAAGAAGCGCCAACATTAAAGACAGACCTTCATACTGGCTCTGCCATTTCTGAATTTTGTGACTCTAGCACCTACTGTTGGCTTCACTATCCTCCACTAAACAACAGGGAGAAGAACACTAACCCTTTGACAGGAAAGAGAAACACAAATTGTATGGAGCAGAGCCCCTGACCAGGAGCAGGCACGCAGCACACATCAGTCCTCCCGACTACATACAACCCCGGTTCAGAAAAAGACTTACTCCAAGTCCCAGAGTTCTGCTACCCAGTGCCAGGTGGACACTGCTGAGGCTTTACTGGAGGGCCTAGTGATGCACTCTGATTTAAGGAGAGGGACGGTGGGTAGTTCTGAAACCCATGGAAGTCAGGGAATTAAAAATTTTGTGTGTGTGTGTGAAGAAGATTAGCCCTGAGCTAACATCTGTTGCCAATCCTCCTCTTTTTGCTGAGGAAGATTGGCCCTGGGCTAACATCTGTGCCCATCTCCCTCTACTTTATATGGGACACCTGCCACAGCATGGCCTGACAAGCGGTGCGTAGGTCCACACCCGGGATCCGAACCTGCAAACCCCAGGCTGCTGAAGTGGAGCATGTGAGCTTAACCACTACACCACTGGGCTGGCCCCCAAAGAATTAAAAAGTTTTGACATTAACGATCTCAGGCTATGGATGTGTGCAGAGGTTGTGCCCTGTGTTTCTCCTATAGAGAAAGGCTTGTGCAATCAGTTCTGGCTGAGGGAGCATGGCTCACTGCTAACTGTAACTCCACTACGTGCACTATGCAGCTGGGCCTCTGCCTGCCAGAAAACCATGGGGCAGCTCTCGAAAGCAGGTGGGATACCCACTCTGAAAGGGAGACATAAAAACTACGTTAGTATCATTCTTTTTTAAGCAAAGGAAGTTGACATACTTGCAGGGGAGAATCCGGACAACATCATTCTGCTTATAGCTCTCTATGCAGACTGCACAATGATCAAAGTCTGGGTCTGTTTCCTGAAATGAAAAGCACAGGAACAAAGTCACACGCTAAAGCTAAAAGCACATAAATGGAGGAGATACAATCTAGCTAAAAATTTTCCTGTGACAACTATGGTAAACAAGTGATTACAGGGCCGGCCCCGTGGCTTAGTGGTTAAGTGCATGCGCTCCACTGCTGGCGGCCCGGGTTCAGATCCCGGGCACGCACCGACGCACTGCTTCTCCGGCCATGCTGAGGCCGTGTCCCACATACAGCAACTAGAAGGAAGTGCAGCTATGACATACAACTATCTACTGGGGCTTTGGGGGAAAAATAAATAAATAAATAAAATTATTTAAAAAAAAAGTGATTATAAAGTGAAAGCTTAAAAAAAATTAATGTTTTCATGGGCTTAACAACTCAAATTATATCTAAGCCAGTCTATTTTGTTTTTAAACTATGTTGTGACAATTAATATTAATTCTGCTTGTGAAACTTCATGTCAGAATTCTAATTTTTTTCAAGGTTCAAATCAGCTATCACCTTGGACTATCCTCATGTCCTCTCCCCACTAAGGCTGCATCACCAATCAGGTCTAGTGGGTTTCACTGCACACCCTCCACAATGTGGGTACTCATTAGGAGGCTCATGTGACCACATAGCTAAGTACAGGCAGCAAAGATGATGAGCCCCCAAAAGACGGCTATCTAAAGATCTGCCCCCAGGATGGGAGCTGTGCACCTGGTCAGAGATTTGGGGGACAGAACAGCCACTGGATCAACTCAATACTGAGTCTTTCTCAAGAGTCAGCCAGGTGTTTGGTAACACAGAGTGACTGATTTCCTTCCTTCTCTGGACCGGGGAGGGTTTCTCCTGAACGGTCATAAAACAGAGCACTACCAGGAATCTAAGCCAGGAAAGGTGAGACTATTTGCTATGTCATTGTCACTTGGATTGAAACTTAGTGGAACAACTCTTGGCAGGTGTAGGAGGTACAAACTAAGAAGAGGTGTTGGTTTTAATAGGGAAAGATGGTTTTGAGCTAGCCTGGGGGACAAAGTAGGATGGGTAGGTTAGACCAGCTCCAGGGAATTTCAAATCAGTGTGGCAGCTGAGGGCCCACCAGGCCAGGAAAGCACTGACACAGTGACCACTGCCCTGCGGTTGAAGTGCAGTGGTTGTGATGTTGCTTACATTCTCTACAAGAGTTTTTCCTTTCTTCTTTCCTTAGTGTACAGTGAAGTTCACTGAAAATGTCTCCACCTTCAGGAGCTGTGTCAAAGAAAATTAGGTGTGGTGGTGTCAAGGTAGTGGGAATAAAAATGAGTGAGTCAAGTCAAGAAAGCGGTAAAATTTAGGAGGATAGAGAAACATCTGAAATTATCCTTCTAGACTCTTTGTTAAAATATTAGAGCTGGGTGTGGGGCAGAAGACAGTTTTGGTTTTATGCCCTCAGAGACACAATATTTTCATTCTAGATAACCTTGCTTATATCAAATGAAGGGTCTAACCTTAAGTTGCTCTTTTGTCCTTATAGAGCAGAAGTAGGGCTCTACCATAACTTGAGAACTGACTGGGGAATTCTGGTGAGCGGTCTCAGCCAAGCCTCTGTCACTGCCTCTCAGGTTCCGTGCCCTTGGCTGTCAGGCCCAATCCTGACAAACTGTGCCCTTCTTTCAGACTGCTTAGCCCACTGTACAGAAAGCACCTTGTTAACTGACGCTCCCTTGAAATGTGGGTCTCCAGTCCTCCATTGAATTGGTGAAGAAATAAAACACAAAGGAGACGTGGCCAAGTCTCAGGAAGCATAGGAACAGAACGCAAGTTCCTGGCTACTTAGTGCACAAACTGCCCCATTAGAGATCTTCCCAAAAGTATGCTAGGTTTTAGCAGAAGAAAACTCTGTTGACCACCACAGCCAGGGTAACTATAAGTAGCCCCGTGAAGCTAATAATGGCAAGAGCATTTAAAGTCCAGAAAAGTTAGAGAACTGTATGGAGGGCCTCCACATTACAGGCATACTAAGAATAAGATTTCAAAGAGACACTGGTTTATAATAAAGCATTAGCTAGAACACTTGAAGAAAAATAATATTCTCACAAAGGAGACACAGATGATGAGGGTATATTCCTCTCCCAACAAATCAAAAGCAAAACTATTTATTTTTATAGTGTTAAAAGCTATTTCATTACCCTACCTTATCACCCTTTTTTACCGTTCTGGTTGTCAATTTGCTGATGGCTTTCTTTGCTGCATCTCCAAGACGACGCTATAAAAATTGCAAAGAAAAACAGACATTAAGTCAAGATCTCTGGATGATGTTCTTTATTTTAAAATAATTAAATATATAAAGTCCCTATTATCCTACATCACTCTCCACATCATATCATGAGAGGATTCTAAAAAAGCAATCAAAAAATTAGAAAAACTGGCAGTTTTCCCATAGATTCAGCATTCTGGTTGAATAATTTAAAAGTGTATACAGTGAAAAAGCCAGGTGCCAAAATCACTACTGCATTTTGTATTTAATAAACATTTGAAATATTACAGGATTATCAAAATCTATGTCTTATACATGTCAGAGCTACCACCACTGTTCAACAGCTTTCCTATTCTGCTCCAAGGACAACCAGTATTAGATATATAACTCTGTCTTAGTAAAAGGACACCTCTAAAGCCCCTCGAAATTGCTTATCCTGTCACCAAGTGTGGGAACACGGGTTCGATCATGGCTGCACTTCTGTCTCTGCCACGACAAGGCTCTGTGATCTAGAGGTAGGTGTGCTGACCTTCAAGGGTTGAGTTCTTCTCATTTATCTGAGAGGGTTAAGTCAGAGAGTCTGTAAGGCTGGATTTAGCCAACATTTTACGAGCTACTGCGAGCACTGCCAGACACCAAGGACCCAAAGATGAAAAGACAGCGTACCCTTAACCGTGAAAAGCCAACTGAATTGGGGAACAGACTAGTAGACACATTTTAATGGAATGTTGTACAGCAGAGCATGCCCAAGTGGTGTGGCAGCACAGAGGATGCAACCCAATGCAGGTGAGGGGCTAGGGCAGAGGAGGAAGGTCAGAGAAGCCTTTGAGCGAAATGGTGCCTGAGCTAAGACTTGGACAACCGAGTAGGAAGAGTTAGATAAGGAAAAGCATAGAGATAGGAGGATAAAGAAAAGCACAAGTGTCCTTTCTGGACAAAGGAATAGTTAAGTAAAGACAAACAGGTGTGAAGCGCAGGCATGTGAAAGAAATTATAGTTTGATATAACTAGGGTGAGCACACATTTTATTGTTTAAATTAGAATGCTCCGAAGTCAGAGAGCCCTGTTAATAATTACACTGGGACAATAGGTGCAAACAGGCACACTGGGACAGATGGTCACCCTACACATAACCAGACCCTGAACTGTGAGAAGAGGCAGACGCTGAGGCTGAAGGAGAAGGGTGGGGGCTAAAAGAAGGAGACCTTGAATTGTATATCCTGAGGATAAAAAAAAAATCGTAAAAACATAAAAATTTTAGGAGGAATTTAAAAATACACAAAAGAAAACAGAATAATTTAATGAACCTCTACGTATCCATCATCCAGCTTCGACTGTCAATGTTTTATCTGTATTTTCATCTGTAAGAGGGAACCCCTCTTTATCGTGCTAGAGGATTTCGAAGCACATCACGAGCTCTGTATAATTTCACCCAGTCTTCACCACGTCTCTCTAATAGATATGGGCTTTCATTTGGTGTCATTGTCTTATCTAACAAAACTAACAATAATCAATCAACATTATCAAATACTCAGACCATACTGCAATTTCCCCAGCTGTCTCCAGAATGTCTTTTTATAGTTGGCTTATTTGAATCAGGATACAAATGATACACTGCATTTGGCTGCTATGCCTCTCAAGTCTCTTTAACCTGCAAGAGTCCCCTCTATCATACATATGTTACACATATGTATAAAACAGCCTTATGGAGATATAATTGATTTAAAATAAACTGCATATATTCAAAGTATACTATCTGATGTTTTGACATGACCCACGAAACCATCATTATGATCAAGACAGTGCATCTTATCTATCATTTCCCTCAATTTCCTTGAGCCTCTTCCTAATCCCTTCTTCCCATCCCTCTTCCACCCTATCCACCCATGACCCACTTTCTGCTACTACAGTTTGCATTTTTGAGTTTTACATAAATGAAGTGATACAGTAGTACTATTTTTATATGGTTTCTTTCACTTAGCATAATTATCTTTTTTTTTTTGCAGGGGAAGATTCACCCTAAGCTAATATCTGCTGCCAATCTTCCTCCCTTTTTTTTTTTTTCTCCCTTCTTTCCTCCTCCCAAAGACCCAAAACATAGTTGTGCATAGTTGTAAGTTCTTCTGGTTCTTCTATGTGAGCCACCGCCACAGCATGGCTACTGCCAGACAAGTGTGGGGTTCTGCACCTGGCAACTGAACCCGGGCTGCCGAAGCGGAGTATGCCGAACTTTAACCACTAAGCCACCAGGGCTGGCTCATCACTTAGCACTATTATCTTGAAATTAATCCATGTGGTTGCATGTATTGATATTTCATTTCTTTCTTATGCTATGTGGTATCTCATTGTATAGATATACCACAATTTATTTATCATTTTCCCTGTTGATGGGACATCTGTATTATTTTCCAGTTCGTGGCTGCAATGAATAAGCTGAAAACATTTTTTACTTGTACAAGTCTTTGTTAAGGACATATGTTCTTTTTCCTCCGGTGTAAATACCTATGAGTAGGGAAGACTGGCTAACATGGTAGGCGTGTTTGGCTTTTTAAGAGACTGCCAAAGTGTTTTCCAAAGTGAGTGTACCATTTTACGTTTCCACTAGCAGCGTATGCAAGTCCCAGTTCCTCCACATCCTCGACAACACTTGATATGGCCAGTCTTTTCCACTTCATTGTCACCACCCTTAATAGGTTTGTAGTGGTATTTCACTGTGGTTTTAATTTGCATTTCCCTAATGACTAATGATGCTGAGCATCTTTTCACGTACTTATTTGTCATCTGTATATCTTCTTGAATGAAGTGTCTGTTCAAATCTTTCACCGATTTTTCTACTGAGTTGTTTGTCTTATTATTGACTTGAGAGTATTTTACATATTCTAGATACAACTCCTTTTGCATATATTTTCTCACTCTGTGGCATGTTTTTAATTTTGATGAAGTCACTTTATTAATTTTTCATTTATACATTGCACTCTGGTGTCCTATTTAAGTAATTTTTGCCTATCTCAACGTTATAAGATTTTCCCCTATCTTCTAGTTTTATTGTTGTAATCTTTATATATAGGTCTCTGATCCATTTTGAGTTAATTTTGTATGGTATGAGGTACTGTTCCAAGTTCTTCTTTTTTTGCACATGATATACAACTGTCCCAGCACCATTTGTTGAAAAGGCCGTCCTTTTTCCACTGAATTGCCTTTGTACATTTGGCAAAAATCAGATAGCCCATAAACGTGTGGGTCTGTGTCTGAACACTACTTTGTACCATATATCTATTTGTCTACCATTAAGCAAATATCACACTGTCATGATTTCTGTAGCTTTTTAACAAATTTGAAATCAGGTCGTGTTAACCCTCCAACTCTTTTCTGCTTTCTCAACATCCTTTCAGTTGTTCTTGATCTTTTGCATTCCCATAAGAATTTTAGGTTCAGCTTGTCAATTTCCATTAAAAAAGCCACCTGGGATTTACACTGGGATTGCACTGAAAGTAGAGAACAATTTAGGGAGAATCAACATCTTAACAACATTGCGTCTTCCCCTGAACACTGTCTCTCTCCATCTATTTAGCTCTAGTTTAATTTCTCTCAGCAATATTTTACAGTGAATTTCACCGTACAGGTCTTGCACATCTTCTGTCAGATCTTTCTCTAATAATTTCCTGTTTGTGCTATTTCCTGTTTGATGCTAATGAAAACAGTATTTAAAAAAAAAAAACACCTCAATTCTCATTCATTGCTTGTACAGAAATTAAATTGATTTTTTTGTGTGTGTGTGAGGAAGATAGGCCCTGAGCTAACATCTGCCAATCCTCCTCTTTTTGCTGAGGAAGACTGGCCCTGGGCTAACATTCACACCCATCTTCCTCCACTTTATATGGGACGCCGCCACAGCATGGCTTGACAAGCAGTGCATCGGTGCGCGCCCGAGATCCGAACCAGCGAACCCCGGGCCGCCGCAGCGGAGTGCGCGCACTTAACCGCCTGCGCCACCGGGCCAGTCCCAAAATAAAATTGATTTCTCTACACTGATCTTATATCTCTCAAAGTTGTTAAACTCATTTGTTAGCTCTAGCAGCTTTTTTATAGATCCCATCAAATTTTCTGCAGTCATCTGTGAAGGAAGACAGTTTTACTTCTTCATTTCTAACATGGTTACAATGGTAGCCGTCAAGTTTTTCGTAAATGCCCCTCATCAGTGTAAGGAAGTTACCTTTTATTCCTAGTTTGCTAAAAGTTTTAAAATCAGGAATACATGTTGGATTTTGGCAAATGTTTTTTCTCCATCTACTGAGATCATGTGGTTTTCCTTTTTTTGTCTGTTAATATGAAAAATAACAATGATTAGTTTTTAATGTTAAATCAGTATTGCATTCCTGGGATAAACACCATCTGGTCATAACAAATTAGCCTTTTTACATACTGTTGGAAATGATTTGCTAAAATTTTGTTTAGAATTTTTGCATCTAGGTTCAAGAAGGATCTGGTCCGTACTTTTCTGTTTTGAAATGTTTCTGTCTAGTTTTGGTATCAGGATGATGCTGGCTTCATAGAATGAAACATTAGGTATTGCTGCCATTCCAATTTCTATAGTTTGTGTAGAATTGTTATTATTTCTTCCTTAAATGTTTGGTAGACTTCACCAGAAATGATCTGCCTAGAGTTTTCTTTTTTTGGAAGATTTTAAACTACAAATGCAATTTCCTTGATGGATATAGGGCTATTTAATTTAGCTATCTATCTTGACTTTAGTTTTTCATGGAATTTGTCCACTTCCTTGAAGTTGTCCAATTTATTAGCAAAGTTGTTCCTAATATTCCGTTATTATCCTTATACTCTATAGTGATGTCATGGCTCTCATTTTTGATATTGCTAATTTGTGCTTTCTCTCTTTTTCTCCTGATCAGTTTGGCCAGAGGCTTATCAATTTTATCAGTCTTCTCTAAGAACCAGCTCTTGGAGTCATGGATTTTGTTCACCGACTGCTGCTCTATCTTCATTATTTCCTT